GAAGGAAGTCTCGCACGAAATGCGGTTTTGAGAGATAGCAGATGCACGAAAGCCTATGTTTTTCCATACAAAGTCCGTCCCCGAACCTCGATGATCTACCTCTGCGGTGCGACGGGTGCGAGACGGTCTCGTGTGTGGTCGGATCATGGTCGGATCATGGGCGGATCATGCTCGGATCGGTTCCGCATTGTAAATGGGGTTTCACCTGTTCTTCGTGCATGTGCGGTCGACAGAATTCCATTGTAATTTGCAACTGTAGGATCGTTCCCGCAATGTAAATGGGATTGCAAGTGGTGCTGGTGGATGAGTTGCCGATGGAATTCCATTGTGATTTGCAACTGTAGGATCGTTCCCGCAATGTAAATGGGATTGCAAGTGGTGCTGGTGGATGAGTTGCCGCTGGAATTCCATTGTGCTTTGCAACTGTAGGATCGTTCCCGCAATGTATGGGATTGCAAGTGTTGCTGGTGGATGAGTTGCTGATGGAATTCCATTCTGCTTTGCAACTGTAGGATCGTTGCCGCAATGTAAATGGGATTGCGGTTTGCAGCTCAGTGTTTGCAGATCGCATTGTAGTGGCTGCGTCAAGGTTGCTTCCTGCTTTGGCTGCATGCGTAATACTATTGTCTTTTGCAGCTGGATCTCGTAAATCGTCTTGGAGTGGCTGCATGAAGGCTGCGAAATGGATTTGTTAGCAGATTTTCTCCATTTTGGCGCTAGTGATTTTCCTTCTAAAAATCCTTTTAAAAAGTGCTTCAAATTCGTCTTTTTTTCGCTCTGGTGTCCAGATCCGGTTTTGGAGCTACAATTTGCGACGCCGTTGCGTAGTTCTATTGTGTTTTGCAACTCAGTCTCTGCAGATCGCATTGTAATGGCTGCGTCAAGGTTGCTTAGTGCTGTGGCTGCATTGGTAATACTATTGTCTTTTGCAGCTGGATCTCGTAAATCGTATTGGAGTGGCTGCATGAAGGCTGCGAAATAAATTTGTTAGCAGATTTTCTCCATTTTGGTGCTAGTGATTTTCCTTCTAAAAATCCTTTTAAAAAGTGATTCAAAATCGTCTTCTTTTCGCTCTGGCGTCGAGATCCGGTTTTGGAGCTACAATTTCCGACGCCGTTGCGCGTAGTTCTATTGTGTTTTGCAACTCAGTCTCTGCAGATCGCAATGTAATGGCTGCGTCAAGGTTGCTTCGTGCTGTGGCTGCATTCGTAATACTATTGTCTTTTGCAGCTGGATCTCGTAAATCGTATTGGAGTGGCTGCATGAAGGCTGCGACATTTTGTCAGCAGATTTTCTCCATTTTGGCACTAGCGATTTTCCTTCTAAATCCTTTTAAAAAGTGCTTCAAAATCGTCTTTTTTTCGCTCTGGCGTCGAGATCCGGTTTTGGAGCTACAATTTCCGACGCCGTTGCGCGTAGTTCTATTGTGTTTTGCAACTCAGTCTCTGCAGATCGCATTGTAATGGCTGCGTCAAGGTTGCTTCGTGCTGTGGCTGCATTCGTAATACTATTGTCTTTTGCAGCTGGATCTCGTAAATCGTATTGGAGTGGCTGCATGAAGGCTGCGAAATGGATTTGTTAGCAGATTCTCCATTTTGGCACTAGTGTTTTTTTGTTGCGCGTAGGTTTAGAGCAGTGTGAAGTGTGGGGCGTGAAGAGTGCAGTGTGAAGTGTGAAGTGTGAAGGAAGCAGTGGGAAGTGAGAAGTGTGGAATGTGAAGTGTGAAGTGTGGAGTGTGAAGTTTAAGTTTGGAGCGCGAAGAGCGCAGTGTGAAGTGTGAGGTTTGGAGTGTGAAGGATGCAGTGAGAAGTGTGAAGTGCGGACTGTGAAGTGTGAAGTGTGGAGTGTGAAGTGTGAAGTGTGGAGTGTGAAGTTTGAAGTTTGGAGTGCGAAGAGTGCAGTGTGAAGTGTGGAGTGTGGAGTGTGAAGACTTTGCTTCGTCTCTCGCTGAAAAAAAAAACCGCTTGTCGAGGGAAGGACACGGTCGGGACAGATTTTTCTTCGAACTATAGGTCATTTATTTTTGGGAAACTTCCGCCGCCGGCTTGCCCGGGTCTATGTTATAAAAGGGTTGTTCTGATTGACTCTGTGGTCCTCCTGAGGGATACCGAATCAAATCCTATGTCAAAATCGAACCAGGTCGTATTAAATCTTTTGCCCCGCAGGAATCGAACCCCACAGATTTCCAGTTTGGATGCAGGCGAAAAATGTGGTCAGTTACTTCCAGACGAACCTGGAAGGAGCTTTCAGAAAGTGCAGAGGAGCAAGCCTTGCCACCCGGAGCTGGAGGCCAGGTGAATTGGCCTGTTTGGCTCATGTCGGGTCATTTTCCCCATTTTGGCTCTTTTTGTTTCATATTTCACGACAGGTAGTGCCGACGTTCAGGCACAGCCCGCGGGCAGGACAGTATCCCCAGACACAACTCGCAGTTCCCAGTTTTTCTTATTTTTGGACAACAAAGTTGGACATTTCGTTTCATCGCCTGGTGGCCTTCCTCAGGCTTCCTGTTTTCGAGGGTGCAATCATGGCCTATATGCGGGCCGTGCTTAGCTTTGAGTTTTGGTTGTTGCCCTGCGCATAACCTTTTGTTGAGGCACCGCGGCCGCGGAGCCATGTAGCCATCGTTCTGAAATGTTGACCTCGGCGCAGTATACCAGTTTTGGCTTGCTTTCAAGCCCGCTGTAAATCAGCTCTTGCTTACTTTCAAGTCCGCTGTATAACAGTGCTTGCTTATTGTCAAGTCCACTGTGTTATTGTTTTTGCTTACTTTCATGTCCACTGTAGAACAGTTTTCGCTTGCTTTCAAGCCCGCTGTGTGTGATTTTTGCTTACTGCCAAGTCCGCTGTATCACAGATTGTGTTTCCTTTCATGTCCGTGGTATAACGGGCTTTCTTACTTTCCTGTCCGTTTTCGTTTCTTTGGTACGGGCTCGATGGATTAATAGCCTCCTCGAATTGGAAATCCATGAGCGAAGGCCTCAATGCACTGGGTGCCTGACAGTTTTTGAATATTGAATGGATGTGGATGTTAATCTCGCTGAAGCACCAAGGTTGGTCCAGAACCAAGAAAAAGGGGAGGGTTCCTTGACATGATGCTCCAGCGGGTTATATGTTGGCGCGATACATGGCCGACATATCAGCACGCCCTCTTTGGCCGATGCTGCGCTTCTACCGCCAAGCGTGTAACTGACACAGAATATTAATTAACCTATCGTTGCGCATCTTTGTATGTATGTTTTTATGAATGTGTTTGAAACTGTTCGGTGTTTCTCGCATCATGGTGCACCAGGCCAGACTCACACTGGTCGATGAGTTTTCGGGCGGCTCTTGGACAGATTGCCCGTCCAAGGTCCCGCGCGGTTGCCCAGCATAGTTCCTGCTTTTAACTGATGCTGTGAGGACTCGGTGACGTTGTGGATCCCGCCTTTGCCGTACCGCAATTAGCTCACCGCCTCTGCTTTTGAAAAGGCTGAGTTGCAGAGTTTGCTGTTGTGTGGCACTCTGGTTATAGCTGCGAGTGTCAGGTACGCCAAGCTGTTAAAGCCTTCCGGAAGCCTTGGCGTTTGCGATCGCTTTTCGGGCCGGCCTTGCAATGTCTTTGTACCAGGGTTAAGGGTGTGGATGTCAGTTTTCTGCTCATGCTTAAAATCAGGGTAGGACACGGTTTATTCTATTGAAAGCTTTTCTTGTTCCATTTTGTTCCATGTTTGTGACCATTTCTGCCAAGGTTGCAGATTGGGTGACGGTGCAGTCTGCACCGCCAGCCCAATTGTGTTTTGGACCACAGCTCTTCAGGCAGGAACACGATTGGGATGTGTTTTTGGAAGATTTGTTTGCGGGTGTGGCGGGGTGCTCCAGCGAAGGTGTCGCCTCTTTGCGACATGGGGGCTGGTTCCTCAGTCGGTGGCGTCCTAAGATTATAGCGTATAGAGCAGCATATATTTTGTGAATTATAGAGATGAACGGTACAGCTGTTTTTATGAGAAACCATATCGATGCCATACATCTGGCTCAAGCAGCAAGAAAAGCGCCTGCTGACTGCAGCTTGGCCGTTGGTGAACACCTAACCCCAGAAAGCTGTACATCGGGCGCCAAAAGCCGATTTGTAGGGTATCTATAGTGCTTCGTCTCCGAAGTTGTGCGTCGTCTCCGAAGTTGTGCGAGCGGTGTGACCAGAGCCATGGGGGGCGCTGATGAAAGCTTAGGCGCACCTTCGTTTGCCGCGGCGTTTGCGAGTGTGGGCTCTCCGCTAGAGTCAGGCGACGGAGGATTGGGCGCAGAGACCGTGACGAGAGAAGAGGAGGCTGGCGCATTGTCGGGTAGAATGAATTTGTTCGAGAATGAGATGAGCCTAGATAGCACTGCCGAGAAGTTTCTTGCAAAGGCTGTGACGTATGTTCACGAGTACCAACAGTGGCTCAAGACCCATGTTGAGTGTAGCAATGTGAGGTACGTTTGAACAATGCCAGAATGATCAGCGAATTGCAAGAGGCCGGCATAGCGGAAATGAGACAAGATAATGAAGGCGTATCCATAAGAGTGAGCTCGACGGTCGAACAAATTGTGGCTGAGCAGGGAACATTGAAACAACAATGCGTGAATCCTCAGAGATGAAATGACCCAATGGCAGCTCAAGAGCGAAACCATTTTTGCAGAATCTTGAAGTATCCTGGTCTATCCAATGGCAGGAAAGCATTCAGGTGAGATTGCGAAACTAAGGACAGCGTTCAGGACATCAGATATGCAAGGTGCTGTGGCCATGACGGCCATCGCCGCCAAGACCAACCAAGGGGAGACAAGTGATGGTGATTATGGCTGAGGTTTCAAAGGTGTAAAAGCAGCCCAAAGGCACGTGATATGGAGAGGGTAGACGAGATGAGGGCTAATGATCACGCGCGCCTCATGGAATCGCGGGATGAAATGGAAGGCAGGAGAAACGCGCAATTGCTTGAAGAGGGGGAGGGGGATGGGGAATGACCAAGGACGATTTGGAGAACGAGATGCCAGAACTGAAAGAATCAAATAATTTTCTTCGGATGCGACTCGAACGCCCGAACGAAGATGGATCGAGCTCTCCATCTTCAAATGTTCTTCGCCTGTCGCTGATGGGAGCTGAAGCCACCATCGAGGAGCAGAAGTTGGACAATCTCAAAGGCGCGTTTCAGATCTCTACTATACGGAGCAGACGAGGACGATCGTCGAGGATGCGAAGGGTGCGGCATTTAAACCTTCTCTGTTGGAACTAGAGCCTAGAGTTTTACAAGCCAATACTGCCCAAGGCAATTTATTGGGACGGCGCGATGGCGCCGGCAGCCACCCCTGAAGATGGAACGATGCCAGTGAGTAGTAGTGTGTGGGAGCAGGAGAAGGAAGATACTCCGTTTCAGGGTGGGCGGAAAGGATCACGAATGGTGCGCATCGCTAGATGAGCAGCTCAATGGAGGCGGTGAGGAGCAAGACGACGTCCCAGAAAATGATGCCGGGCGGGGGAAGCAGTCATTGACGTCGCCAGGGGTGAATGATGAAGCTGATTTGAAGCAAGAGATCCAGATCTCTAGGAAAGGGCAGGACAAGATCACGCTCAAACCACTCCTTCCACAGCGGCTAGTGCAGATTCCGATCGTGACATAATGCCTTAGCGGGAATGGCTGAAGCCAGCAGTGATACCGATCGACAAAGAAGCATTAGCGTCAAGTACCAGGGAATCGACAACATGTTATGATTAGCACTCCTTGACGCTGGAGGAGAAAAGGCCCGAATTCAGACCAAGACCAAGCACGGAAACATGGCGCCAAGAAGTTCAGGTACCTCCAACGTAGACAGGTGGCTGGGCAACAAGGACGTTGACAAGTTCCTGTCGAAATGGGGAGAAATTTGAACGTGACGCCATGTGATGTCCCTTCACCTGACTGTGACTCTCAGACACATGTTGACTCGACGCATCAAGGGTTCACCAAAGTTGTCCTTGGCCATATAGAAATTACAACAACATGAGCGAGGGTGACAAGAACAGGACTATACTGATAGGAGTTATTGAGCGACGCGTTGGGCTGAAGAGAGATAAGGAGAGAAATCGCCCAGCGTCTCGCTTGGGCGATAAAAACTGGTCGCAATCCTCTAGCAGGTCCTGCTCTTGGTGAAGACTGTTTTGAGTTTCCTTTGTTGTGTGTAAACATTGAGTCATTGAAGCCGTTGTGCTCCGAAGAAGCGTTTTTCGACCCCACTTCCAGGAAGGTGGCCAGTGTTGAGGAAATGCGCTTTTGACAGGCAACAGAACAAGATAGGTAATTTTGGAAATGAACGACCTCCCTGATAGCCTGACAGCGCCCCTTACATTGCACTGATGCACTGAGGAGGAAAGAGGCGTTTCATGAAGACAATCTGCCAAAAAACGCACTGGAGGTAATGATTCCCTTGGGGAAGCCATAGGTATCCCTGTTATTGCCCTGTGGGAAGGTCAAGTGGAGATGGTGCGTAGGGATATGTCTTTTTTTGTAGGGCCGTGCGCAGGCGGTTTCCCCATGGAACAAGATGAGCCGGAAAATCAGTGGATAACCGTGCGTGAGATACACGCCAAAGCTAAAGCCTAGTGGAGGCTACATGGGAATTTTTTTCCGACCGTCCCCACCGGATCATACTGTTAGGCCCTTGTGCGCTGATGGGACTTCCACGGTTCTGTGAGTGTTGGAAATTTAAACGGCTGACGTCGATGGTTGGCAGGTCAAACTCGACGAAAAAAATTGTGGAGAATAATACCCTATAGGTATGGACATGCGGCTTGTATATATACGCCCAAAATAGCAAAGCGAGGAAAATCAGCAAGACGCTTCAAGTCCCATATCTCTTCGTTGGATCGGGTTGCTGCGACTTTGCATGATTGCGCAAATATCCGGAACTAGGAAAATTAGTACGAAGGTTCAAGACCAGTCTCCGACTGATTGTTGCGGAGCAAACAAAAGTTTACATCGGTTCGTCCAATTCGGTGGTTGCAAGGTATTCATTACTACGTTCCTTTTCCGGCATGCTATTTCTGACGATATTGAGCAATTTATTTGGATTTGAAGGCAAGGGGTTTATCTATCGTCAGCTCTGCCGTGGCGAGTCGGTCAAAGTAGGTCGTAACGGTGTCCTTGGCGGTTGTAGCCACGGGTACATGCCAGAAAACAGTCGGTGAGTTTCTGACCCTTGGCATTCCTGTTTGTCCCTAATTGGTTGGTCCAGCACCGCTCCCTGCCGTGCTGCCCAGGGCGCCGGCCCGCAGAACAAACTGCTTTTATTGCTCGTTCTTCTAGGGGTGACATTGGCAAACATCTGCCCCACTCTCTGGTGAGTGGACGCAAGCTCACGGATATCCTATTTCGGATGAGCTCCATACTCCGTGTTCTGCATGCACTAGATGGCGGCAATGATCCTCACGAATTGCCTGAATTGTTTGTGCAATTATGGATCCTTACAAACGAAAGAAACGACATTTCTCCTGGGCATCTTCTTCGACAAGTCGCTCATAATATACTCGCAGTCTCGCCCAGCTGGCGTTTTCACTGTTAGGGCCCGCAGTGCCGTCCTATTTCAGGACGGCAATGCTTAGAGCAACCAATTTGGCCAGAAATGGGCGAAATAGAAGTTGAGTAAATATTTTCATGTCGATTTTTTTTCTGGTAGGTTTTCCAAAAAAGAAAAGGAACGATGGGCACCCCGGCCTGCATTCCGTTTGCATTGACACAGGGAATTTTTTGTTTGTTTTCATGCAGGGTACAAGATTTTAATTGTATTTCAAAGGAAACAAATATCTGCATTGCTGTTGTGCAGGCGTTGCTCAAAAAGAATCTTTTTTTTGTGAAATAAAAGCCTGATAAAACGCAATTCCTGCACAGAATTGGGTGCCATTGTTAGCAGAATTGGGGCTGCTGGGGCAAACTTCTTTTCTTATTTTAATGGGCAACCTCTGGTCGTGATGGCACACGGCTCACCGCTCGACAGGGACTGCTGGAAGCAGGAACCGTGTTTCCGATTGACTAACGCTTTCTTGGACATAAGTACATAGCCATTTGCCGAAATCTCACTGCGGCTAGATGCCAAAAAAACGACCATTAAATCAAACCTCGTTAATTCTTTGGTCTGTTGAAAAATACTTCCTGTGGTCCGTTATCGTTGGCCAAACAAAGAACCAAAGCGTGCACTCTTAGACAGCCTGTGGAGTCGTAGAAAGCTGTCGATCACTTAAACTTCCGAAATGCTGTCCAAATCCTAAATAGGCAAAAAAACAAGCAAGATAAAATGAGCCAAAAAAACGTGCAAAAATGCTCTAAATCCTCATGGCGCACTTATCTATAGCAGCTCCTCTCTGCTGCGCACTCAGGCAAATCACCTGAATATTTGCAAGCGCGCAAACTCACTTTTACTTTTCTCTTATAAATGTGTGCAAAACATCAAAAACAAATTTGGAAGTGGCAAATAATTAAAAAGACCGGCTGTCTTGTTTCTGATGACCTGCCTTTTTTAATAATCAGTTGGTGGATAATTTGGCTCACCATTGCAATCGAACTCACTTAATATTCGAGATCTTTCAACCAACATTTGATTTGGCCATGTTCATAACTCCAGTGCCAAAGTTCCTGGCCAGTCTGACTACTGGAAACGAGATGTCGGGGGTGGATGACGAAAGCTAACGGGGTAGGAGAAAGAAAGAAGGGAAGAGGTGAGTTGCGGAGGGACTGTCATCATCGTGTCGCGGCATTGATGGTCCCAACGAGGATGAAACAATAATATATCGGAGAGGAAGTAGGCGGGGACCCTTTTGCATGAAAAAGCATGTGATGTCCTTGGGGAGCCCC